AAGAAACATTGATCGGTTACCTCCCCATATGTGCCCCGACCAGGGATCAAACCCACAACTTAGGTATGTGCCCTGATTGGGGACTGAAGGCACAACATTTTGGTGTATGAGACAATGCTCCAACCAAATGAGTCACCTGGCCAGGGCACTTTGCTTTCTTCTAACATTTTTGTATTTTTTTTAAAATAAGGAATTCACTTTCTTTTTTTTTAATTATTTATTTTAGGGAGGGAGATAGGTAGGTAGGTAGATAGATAGATAGATAGATAGATAGATAGATAGATAGATAGAAACATCAATGTGCGGTTGCTGGGGGTTATGGACTGCAACCCAGGCATGTACCCTGGCTGGGAATCAAACCTGCGACACTTTGGTTCGCAGCCCGAGCTACGCCAGCCAGGGCTACATTTTTATATTCTTAGCTCTTACCTCTTTCAGGTGGTTTTTATATGTGATGTGAGGAAGGAGCCTAACTTCATTCTTTTACATGGAGATACCCAGTTGCCCCAGCACCATTTGTTGAAGACTGTTCTTTCCCCATTGAATTGTCTTGGCAATCAGCTGCCCATAAATTATGTGCTAATTTTTGTACTCTCAATTCTATTCTTTGATTTATACAAGGTGGGACTAAAGTAGGTTTCTGGATCAAATATTTCCGTTATTTGTATGGAAATAATACAGTAATTAATAAATAATAAGGTAAGAATAAACTCTGTTTTATGTACTCACAACTCTAAACCTGCTTTTTTCACACTCTGTTCATCTATGTTTTTGCCTTTGCCACACAGTTCTTGATTTCTGTAGCTTTGTAAATTTTGAAATTGGGATGTGTGAGTCATACTTGAATATGCCTTTTCAAGACTGTTTTGATTATACTGGGTTTGTACATTTCTATAGAGTTATGTTATAGAATTAGTTTATTTCTGCAAAAATTGCAGCTGGAATTTTGTTAAGGTTGAATCTGTAGATAATTTGAGGAGCATTGCCCCTTTGTGTCTTACAATGCAGCAACATGGGTATCTGTCCATTTATTTAAGCCTGCCTTAGTTTATTCAGTATTTTGTAGTTTTTAGTATATGTCTTACACATATTTTGTTAAATATATGGCTAAGTACTTTATTCTTTTTGATGCTTTTGTAAGTGGAGTTGTTTTCTTAATATATTTTAATTGTTCATTGCAAGAGTACAGAAATAAATTGATTTTTGTATCCTGCAACCTTGCTGAACAAGTTTATTAGCTGTTTTATTGTTGTAGATTATTTAGAATTTTATTTATACAAGATCATGTCTTCTGCCAATAAAGTATTACTTTCTTACCAATCAAATGTCTTTTCTTTATTTTTCTTGCCTAATTTTCCTGGCTAAAGTCTCCAGTATAAAGCTGACTAGAAGTGGTAAGAGCAGAGGCATCTTTATTTTGTTTCTGTTCTTAGGCAAAGCTTTCAGATTTAACCATTAAGTATAATTTTAGGTGCTAGGGTATTTTGTAGTTGCTCTTTATCAAGTTGAGGAATTCTCCTTTATTCCTAGTTTGTTGAGTGTTTTTTATCATAAAAGTGCAAATTTGTAAGATGCTTTTCCTGCATCTCTTGAGATGATCACCTGTGGTTTTGTCCTTTATTCTATTATATATGGTATTTTACATTGATTTTCATATGTTTTTCTAACCTTGAATTCCCGGATAAATCCCACTTGGTCATGGTGTATAATCCTTGATTTATGTAGCTAGATTTAGGTTGGTAGTTATTTTGTTGAGGACTTTTACATCTATATCATAAAGAATACTGATATAGTGTCACTTTTAATGGCTACATAATCTTTAATTATGTGAATGTACCATAATCTAACCAGCTAGACTTTTATTTCCTTTGTTGTCATTATTATAATCAAAGATAAGCTTGTAACTTGCACATAGAGCTTTGTATTCATTCATGATTATTTTCATAGGATGCATTCTTACAAATGGAATAACTGAATCAAAGGTTTTGCTCAGATATTTGTCTCATCTTATCATTCGTATTTACATTTTGTTTATAGTATTTTTTTATTTGCAGAGGTTTTTTACTTTCAAGTAGTCAGATCTGTTTTTTTTTTATGTATTGTGCCTTTGCATGTGGGGTTAAGAGGCCTTTTTCACCTTGTTTAGAAATAGAATCTCTATTTTCTTCTAGTTCTTATAGTGCATCTTTTTCTCCTCCCTTAAATCTTTATTTCATCAGAATTCATTTGAGTACAAGGTGTGAGGTAGGAGTCTTGTTTTTGGAAATGATTAGTGAATTTTCACAATGATATTTTAAAAAATCTACTTTTATCTTCAAATTAGTAATTTCATCTTTATCATAACCTGAATTTTTATTTTAGGGTCTTGTTATAATCCACCGAGGATATTTCTACTCCTGAACCATACCACTGTAATTATTTTACTTTTCTGGTCTATTTTTATTTCTGGCAATAGAAATCCCTTTTCTTTTTTTTTCAAGAATTTTCTTCTAGCTCTGGCTTGTGTGGCTCAGTCGGTTGGAGTGTTGTACTGTAAACCAAAAAGTCACAGGTTCGATTCCCAGTCAGGGCACATGTCTGGTGTGCAAGTCCTATCCCTGGTATGAGAGGCAGATGATTGATGTTTCTTTACCTCTCTCTCTCCCTCCATTCCCCTCTCTCTAAAATCAATAAACATTTCCTCAGGGGAGGATTAAAAAAAAGAATTTTCTTATGTAGAGAAAAGTTATTCTACCACATTTCTAGTCCTATTAGAATTTTTATTGGAATTATAACACACTTATAAAATTATTTGTGGAGAATGGATATCTAATTGAAAGCACATGGTATATTTTTTTCATTCAGCCCTCTTTTTTGTTCTTCAGTAAAATGTTACAAATTTTTTGAGGGTGACTGCCAGATTTATTCACACATATTTTTATATACTTTTTGTTTTGTATAAAGGATGTATTTAGCATGAAATAACTTATTTTATTGTATTATTTTATCACACAATTTAATATCTACTTGTTTTAGAAAATTTAGAAGCTACAATGTAAATTTAAAAAATAAAGGGCCTGATCTGACTGGTATGGCTCACTTGGTTTGGTGTCGTTCCACAAAGGGAGAGGTCATTGTTTTGATTGGGTTGCAGGTTCTGTCTTAGAGGCAACCAACTGATGTTTCTTCCTTGCATCCATGTTTCACTCCCTCCCTTCCCCTCCTTTCTACCCTCTCTAAAAATAAATAAATAAAATATTTTAAAAATAAGATAAATTACCTCACATTTCCAGACATAAGCACTGTTAACATTTTGTGTATATCCTTCTAGTAACAGATTTGCAGTCCAGTTGGAGAAGTAAGGTAAGATCACATGAAAGGCTTAATAATACAATGCACTAGTGGGTGACCAGCTTGTTACTTTTATGTCTTGCATTTTTGCCTTCATGAACTGCTCTTCTCACTACCAGTGGGGTGCCAGTCACCCAGGTACCTCTCCCTGGCCCACTGGGTTGGACAGTGTATCACTGCCAGGTTCTTTTCTGAGGAGTGTAACCCTTCTTCTGGCATCTTGAGTTCTAAAGACCTCTCCTCCTGGAATGCTCCTGGGAAAGGCTTTCCCATCCCAAGAGCACCTGTGTTTGAATAAAGCAAACTTAGGGAAGCTGAGCTGAGAGATCATGTAAAACAGACCCCCGTGATATTGGACCCTCTAGGCTTCACGGCTTACAGCCAGCTTGAATTCATCCAGGGGCTTTCTGGATAGTCAAGCCAATAGATTTGCTGTTTTGCTTAAACAAGGTTGGGCTGGAGTTCTGTCCCTTGCAGCTCCCCACCACTGCCACCTCATGTCTATCCCATGGTGCCACACTTGGGAGGAACTCCCAGATAAGTCAGATCCTTGTATGTCCTACCTCCCAACAGGATGGATATTCCTCAGTGAGAGCAAGCCCCATGCATTATGCCTCTTGCTTTCTTCAAGGCAAAGAAGGAGAGCCACCTGAGGTAGCAGCATTTGCCAGGGGCAGGAGCCACAGTCGTAATAACACCTCTGCAGGTGAAGGCCAATGCTGAGCTGCATGAGAACAGATCCTCACTGTCTTCTGTGATTGGAATGGCTGTGCGCATATGGAGGGTGCTCATGCTGAATTGAACCACAAGGGCTCAGTGTCACTGAGGTTCTGCCGACACACCATCTGCCATGTAGGAGCCACTTGGCTGCTTTACACACCTACTATCCAGTAAAATAGAAACCTATGGCAGTTACTGAGTTTAGCCTAGCCCTGATGATTCAGTTTTGGGGGAGTGTGGATATAACACATGTAGCTTATTTACCTGCACAAAATTTCTTCCATTTTTTTCTGTGCCACATGTTTGCTCTCTATTACAGATCTCATTGTCACTGGGGCTTTTGAGGGCCCCTGGCTAGTGGCACCAGACAGGACCCTAGGTTTTATAAGAGTGCTCATATAATTTTGGAGCTCTTTGAATTCAAAATTAGGCATGAAACTATTTATTTAGAATGAAAAAGAAGTTGCAACAAATTACCAGAGCCTTGGAGATCAAGATGCCTTACCCTTGAGGTCCCTTGAGTCAGCTTATGAGAATCGCCTGCTTCAAAATGCTTCCTGATTGTTATCTGAGTTCCCCATGCCACCCAGAATGTTCTACAGTTTGCAGGCCATGGCAGTGGGGGCCCTGAGGCTTCAGGGCAGACTCACCTCTGAAGTTCTCATGGCTTTTTATTCCCCTTGTTTTCTGTTTGATATCTCAGGGAGCAATCAGCAAGAAACTAAGACAGCATACATCTTAAATCCTTATGTTTCTGAGAGATACACATTACGTATTTAGGAATAAGTAGGATAGAAATGATTTGGTACTCTGTGTGTGTGTGTGTGTGTGTGTGTGTGTGTGTGTGTGAGGGGCGGGGGGAAGGGGGGGAGAGCCAGAGAGGCCACCAGAGGCCCTGGGGAGCAGAGCCCGCCTGCTTCCTGAGTGAAGTGTTGCTCCAGTGCTCACTGCTTGGTCTCCTGAGTGTGGTTTCCTTCCCGGCCAGCACCAAACCCCAGAATAGAGCACTGGGCTTGCAGATTGAGGTCATCAGCTCTGAAAGCACGAGAAGAAAAGGTTGTGCAGTAAGTACATAGCTGGTTATCATTGAAAAGGGGGATAGAAAATCTTAGAGCAGTTCTGTCAATAGAAGATATTCTTGTGCTTTAGGTATAATGTCAAACATACATTATGATATGACCAAGGCATTATTAATATGTTAATTTGTGGTTCATGGGCAAGATAAACTAATATTACATGCATATTTTGGGGGGCTGAAAGTGAATTTGAAACTCATCCTCTGTCATCTTGAAAAAATAGTCTTTTCTCACTGCCTGTTATTTTTTCATCTTGTGAAGCCAGGATAATTAATGCTAACCTCCAGTTAAATGTATAAACTTCTTTGGCAAAAAAGTCCCATCTATGGGTACTAATTACTAACAGTGTGGAGGTCTGTTTTTTACAACTAAGGTGAGTAGGGCTGCTTTTGTGCATTCTGAATTCACCAAGAGAGAATTCTAAAACCCTACAGAGAGGACTGCCCACTGGACTGGTTCTTAGCCCCGGAGGAAGTTCTAGAAAACCTTCTCTCCTTGAAGATCAGCACTTTGATGTGTGCCCTGGCATCTTGCAGAGGGCCTGATAATGTCCCATTGCTCGATATCTGGGGCAAACATTGTGCTTATGAGGCTTAGATGGCAGAATTTCAAAGCTATGACAAAGATAGAGGCTTTTCTAGGAAGTAACTTATTAGGTGGTTTCTGTGTAAGCAGTATTTTGTCCCACCCTTGTTCCCCCAGCAAGGGGATCAACTACTTTGAAATGTCTTGTTACCACTCTATTTTCTAGAAATTAAACTTCTTTTATTTCCTTTTTCCATTGAGTTAATTTCTTATTAGAATGAAATATTTAGCTCAGTCATACAGAAAGACCATATTTTAAGTTCACTCAAGAAATGGGATTCCTCCTCCTCATTAGAAGTTAAAGAAAACACATACATCTGCTGCTTTTTCTGAAGTCCTCACTAATATGGCTCCGCTTGTTCCTTTACAGCTCAGCTCCATAGATCCGTTGTTTTACATGGTTCTGGTTTACTGTAGCCGTTTCACTTCCTTTAATCTTTCTTTTGCCAAGTGAGTTTATGTGCAACTGTTGTCTGTTCTTACTAGGAGAAACATGCAAAAGTAGAGGAAGTCAAAATTAACTACTAAATTTGCAACTGAAAAAAAAACAACCCATGTGAAATATTTTTTCCCTCACTTCGATTTTGTTTTTAAAACACAGTTAATTTTTTTAATGATAAAAAGAGCATTTTGAGTGCTTGCTGTGGCAGGCACAGCAGCCAAGTTCCTCACGAGCACTCTCTCATTTGTTTTCACAGTAATCCCACGAGGTGGTTCTAGTTATGGTCTTTACTGTGTAGGTGAGGAAACAGGCATCAAAAGGTGATGGGCTTTGCCAAGCTCACTCTGATCTGTGAGTGGAATGAGTGCTGCAGCTGGGATTGGAATTTGGGTCTTTTCAAATCAAGTTTAGAAATTACAGAAAATAGAGACTCAACCCCATGCCCTAAAGCAACTTAAAATTTCTATATTTCATTCTACTTGTACAACTAGATGTTATAACATAATGTTCTTTATGTTATTGGCTTCACAATTATTTTTAAGAGTGTATAATTGTTCTAGTGAGTGATTGTTCCATAAATTACTTAACTATTCCCTGTTCTTGAAAATTGAGTTGCTTTTCTTTTTCTGTTTGCTTGTTTTTTGCTATTATAAATAATACTTCAGTAACTGTCTTACTCATATAGTATTTTTCCTGTTTTTAGATTTTGTCTGTAGAATAGATTCTCAGACATGGAATTGTTAAGTAAAGGGGCATGAATATTTTAATGGTGCTTGGTGTATGCTGCTAAGCTGCTTTCTGTCAGCACTCTGTGTGAGAGTGCCAGCTTAACTGTATCTATTCCACCTGTGACAGTACATTAAAAAAGAATAGGCAAAACAGAAGTCCTTTTTTATAATTTTGCATTTCTTTTAATATAGCTAGATTGCACATTTTTTCACATGTTTGTTTACAAGTTGTACTTTATCTTTTCCTCATTTATTTGTTAATATCTTAATGCCTTTTTATTTTTTGCTAATTTATGTGTTTTTAATATATTTTATTGATTATGCTATTACAGTAGTCCCATTTCCCCCCTTCACTCCCCTCCACCCTGCACACCCTCTCCCATCCACATTCCTCCCCTTTAGTTCATGTCCATGTGTCATACTTATAAGTTCTTTAGCTTCTACATTTCCCATACTATTCTTACCCTCCCCCTGTTTATCTTCTACCTACCATCCATGTTACTTATTCTCTGTATCTTTTCCCCCTCTCTCCTCCTCCCACTCCCCTGTTGCTAACCTTCCATGTGATCTCCATTTCTGTGGTTCTGTTCCTGTTCTACTTGTTTGCTTAGTTTGTTTTTGTTTTTGTTTTAGATGCAGTTGTTGATAATTGTGAGTTTGCTATCATTTTACTGTACGTGTTTTTTATCCTGTTTTTCTTAGATAACTCCCTTTAACATTTCATATAATAAGGTCTTGGTGATGATGAGCTCCTTTATCTTGACCTTATCTGAGAAGCACTTTATCTGCCCTTCCATTCTAAATGAAGGCTTTGCTGGATAGAGCAATCTTGGATGTAGGTTCTTGTCTTTCATGACTTGGAATACTTCTTTCCAGTTCCTTCTTGCCTGCAAGATCTCTTTTGAGAAATCAGCTGACAGATTGATGGGAACTCCTTTGTAGGTGACTGTCTCCTTATCTCTTGCTGCTTCTAGGATTCTCTCCTTCATTTTAATCTTGCTTAATGTAATTATGATGTGCCTTGGTGTGTTCCTCCTTGGGTCTATCTTCTTTGGGACTCTCTGAACTTCCTAGATTTCCTGAAAGTCTATTTTTTTTTGCCAGAATGGGGAAGTTCTCCTTTATTATTTGTTCAAATAACTTTTCCACTTGTTGCTCTTCCTCTTTCCCTTCTGGTATCCCTATAATTCGGATGTTGGAACATTTAAAGATGTTCCTAAGCCTCTCCTCATTTTTTTGAATTCTTGTTTCTTCATTCTTTTCTGTGTGGTTGTTTCTTTCTTCCTTCTGGTCCACTCCATTGATGTGAGTCCCAGTTTCCTTCCCATCACTGTTGGTTCCCTGTGCATTTTCCTTTATTTCACTTAGTGTAGCCTTCATTTGTTCATCTAATTTATGACCAAAATCAACCAACTGTGTGAGCATCCTGATCACCAGTGCTTTGAACTGTGCATCTGATAGGCTGGCTATCTCTTCATCACTCAGTTGTATTTGTTCTGAAGCTTTGATCTGTTCTTTCATTTGGGCCATTTTTTTTTGTCTTGATATGCGTGTTATTTAGTGAGGGGCAAAGCTTTAGGTGTTCACCAGGGCAGGGCAACCCACCTTGCTGCGTTGTGATGCTCTATGTGGGGGAGGGGTCTGAGAGGGAACAAAGGCACTTGCTCCACTCTCTGCAGGATTTCAGTCACTTCCCCCACTTCCCCCAAGCAAATTGGGCCCTTTTGGTGCTGATTCCCAGGTGAGTGGTTTTGTGCATATTCTAGGACCCTGTGGGTCTCTCCAGTGAACTCTCCTGTGAGGCTAGGAGTCTCTCCCGGCACCTCAACCCCCACAGGTGTTTTCAATTGGTGTTTTGAGGCTTTATTTCCCGGTACTCGGGCGCTGGGTTGTGCAGTCTGTCTTGCTCCCCAGTTTTGCCTGGTTTATCTGCATGTGAATATGGGGATCCCCCCCAGTCCACCAGCCACCTTGTGTGCCATACTTCTCCACAGTCCACTGCCTTGCTGGGTTCACCCACTGCCACCCTGAGGCTGGGGTCTGCCAGCCACCACTTTTTTCCCACAACCCCTCTCAGTGCGGCCGCCTGACTCCACCCCTCCAACGGTCTGGATGAATGTGTCTATTTTAACTCCTTGGTTGTCGGGCTTCCATACAGTTGAATTTTCTGTCAGTATTGGTTGTTTTCTTGTTTCTGAATTGTTGTCCTTATTTTGGTTGTGCGAGGAAACACAGTGTGTCTATGTTCACCTCCATCTTGGCCGGAAGTCTCTATATGTGTTTTTAATAAGATTTATCTGGCACATTTTTATCGTTTTTTTCTAAGACTATTGCATACCTTTTTAAAATGAATTTTTCAGAAATATGTAGTCATTTAACATTTTTACATGCCCACATTTGTCCATTTTTTCTCTAACTGTTCTTAATCCTCTTTTAAGGGATTTTTTCTTCTAGTTTTTTACCCTGGTGGATGGCATGAAAAATGGGTTTAAACTGACTTAAAAAAATGCTAAACAGTTTTCTAGTATCTTTTATGAGCCATCTTTGTTCTCTAATATTTCATAATTTTGCATTTTTATACCTTCAGCTTTTCTAGGTTAAATGAAATTTCTAGATTATCTGTTGTATTTATCAGAGCTAACTACATCTGTGTCATTATCACATTGCATTATTTTTGTTATTTTATACTGTGTAGAGATAATTAGTTATATTGAGTAACATGGAGTCAAAATAAAGTTTTGGTTAAGAGCATGGGCTTTGGAGGCAGATTGCCGTCCCAACTTATGTGTTCCTTAGTCTTACTGTTTGTAAAATGGGGACAGTAATGATATCTGCTCTGTGGGACTTTGGGGTGAGTAAGTAAAAGCTAAATTTTAAAAAACCAGGAAAAAGTATTTGATACATATATAGAATACTTGATATATATTAAATATATATATAAATGTGTGTTATACAAACTTCTTATATAAAGTCAATGTGTCATTCTTTTTCTTTATGGTCTCCAACAACCTTTTGTGTAATCTTGGGAGACAGAAAGAAAACACATTTGACTCTACATGCATTGAAAGACAGGCAGGTGAGAGACAGCGACACACATACTGCAGAGAATTACTTTTTATTGTAAAAGAATTCCAAAACATCAATTAGAAAAAGAAAAATACACAAAGGAAAAATGGTCTTGTTAAAACATGTAATTCACAAAAGTAATGCACTTGGCCTGTAAACATGTAATA